TAATTACCAGGCTGTACTCTCAGAGGTTTGGAGTTAAAGGTCTGTGTTACATTTGCACAATTGGTTATTTTTAATTACATTCCAGTCTGGAACCAGTCACCATAGAAGCAGCATGCTTTGGTTTCTATACTGCTATTACCTGTCTATCTCCTGAGCTCCCTGGACAGCTCATTAATCTGTACTTGTGAAACTAAGACATTTCAAATGATAGCTGGAATGGGGTGGTATTTATTACTAAGGATTAGTTGGAGTCCTCAGGAGCACCAAAAGGAGCTGGAGCCTGTACAATAAACAAGATGCAGGAAACTAGTCATAGGCGTGTGTGTGTGTGTGTGTGTGTAATACTGAACATGCTAAAGGTCTCCAGGAATTCTCTTCTAACCTTTAATAAGACTCATGTATTTTCAACGTTACTCCTTTAGTGGTATTTGAAATCCACTTACCTCTCCCAAAAAACCACTTACCTCCCCGCAAAAACCTACAAAATAATTTGCTTTCAAGCAGAAACTCATGTAGCACAAGTAGGCCTCATACTTTTTATGCAGCTCAGGATGAACTTGAATATCTGATCTTCCTTCACCTCTCAAGTACTAAGATCATAGGTGTAGACCATCACACTTGACTGAGACAAGCTTTCTTTAATCTAACCCGATAACACTTCTAAGTGGTCCACCTACTTGGAACATAACCAGTCCTTCTACATCAGTATCCCACTGCATCCCAAATATCTCCATTCCACCTACATGTGAAGTAGTAAAGCTTATCCTTGACAGCTCTACACTTATGCTATATGACACATAAGCAAACACACATTTAAAAACTGACATCTGCATATACTCTACATTATAAGCAGAAACAAGCTCACAAAAGATTTTTTTTTGTTGTTTTTGTTTTTGTTTTTCGAGGCAGGGTTTCTCTGTGTAGCCCTGGCTGTCCTGGAACTCACTCGGTAGACCAGGCTGGCCTTGAACTCAGAAATCCACCTGCCTCTGCCTCCCAAGTGCTGGGATTAAAGGCGTGCGCCACCACCGCCCGGCCACAAAAGATTTTTTTAAAACCAGAAGTTAATAAAGCAATATCCACTGAATGAGGACAAAGCACAGTAGCATTATAGACACTTTTTTTAATGACAACAAATAGTAAATTAATATAAATTACAGGCTACAATATTCTGAATACAAAACCCATTCAGGTAAAGACTAGAAAAAGTAGCTAAGATATCCAGGCCCCACTGTGATGACACATGCTTTACAGACAGCACACTGGCACTCCCACCCCACCCCCACCCCCATCAGTGTACTAATGAGTGCCACAGCAAGGCCAGTGACACTGTGACTGAAAAGTCTAACACTTAGCATTGACATCAAGGGACATCTGTGTAACATGTTCACTATGGAAAACTCAGACAAGAATATGTCTTTCTTTGCAAACTGTAAGGTGCTGTGCAGATGTTGTTAGCTATTGCTATTATTCCTGTTCAGTGAGATTTCACCAAACGTGGAAGGAAGACTAGATTGTAAAACGGACAATATGACTTACAGAACATCTTTAAAAGAACAGATACTTCAAGCACACATAGAACACAGGTTTAAGTATAGCCGGCAGCAATATGGAAAGATTCTAGACTTTTATAAAGGAATAAAGAGTTAAGAAATTCACAGGTTATGCACTGATGGGTAGATTCCCAGTATCTCTGAAAGTAATTTATTTTTAAGGTAAATTAATTCCCTTGGGATAAAAAGTTTTGTCAAGCTAATTAAGAGTATTTTCACCAGCACAAGTCTAGTGAAATAATCTTAAAATTTAGGAGCAAAATCTGAATAGTTGTGTATTTCACTAGTGAATAACATAGTAAAAAAGCCTGCTATTAACTGAAGACAACTGATGAATACTGTGCCATCATTGAACACTTTGTCTACTGATTTTCTATGCTTAAACACTAAATACAAAATGGTCTGGAGATACAGTGGATATATGTAAAACAGGATGGCAACACTTTTTTTCATGTACCTTCAGCATCTGCCTTCCTTGGGTACATCTTACTTGTATACTTTTACTTACCCATTTGAATGTCTTGTCTACATAAGATTTATATGAAAATAAGCACAGGCCCATTGGTTGCTTCTTTTTATAAAGATAAATTGTTTTGTAGGTTTTGTTGTTGCTGCTGTTCTTTGGAGACAGGGTCTCATGAAGCCCCAGGGTGGCCTTGAACTCCTTCCTAATCTTCCTGCATCTGCTTCCTAAAATACTAAAGGACAGGCATATTCCACCATAGCTGGTTCAGTATGACTTTTTTTTTTTAAAGATTTATTTATTTTTATTTATGAGTACACTGTAGCTGTCTTCAGACACACCAGAAGAGGGCATCCAATCTCATTACGGATGGTTGTGAGCCACCATGTGGTTGCTGGGATTTGAACTCAGGACCTCTGGAAGAGCAGTCAGTGCTCTTAACCGCTGAGCCATCTCTCCAGCCCCTCAGTATGACTTTTCTGATGTAAATTTTCAAGTTACCATAATTACTGTTAGATTCCCATGAAATACTCAGTTATTTTGAATAACAGATTTAAGATTCTTTACTATCATTGCAAACCAGAATGCTACTCTAACCTGTGAAATAGCAGTGAGTGTACCAGATGCATCCTACAGCAGACTTCCATTTTTTTTTTTTTAGTAATGAGAGAAGGGATTAGTCAGGAGGCAAATCTAAAGGTAGAGAAGGTACAGCAAATAGGGTTAAATCAGTAGCTTGCACTGACACTTCAAGTTATACTCTCTAACTGGGATTACCATTCCAATCAGGTTTTGAACAACAGTGAACATATTCCTGCCGGAAAACACTTAACAGTTCAACTGTAGCTTTTCTTCTAACACATCATGAGATATGTACTTTGTGAAAGAGGAAACTAGTTAAAAACCTTGAAAGAATGTTAGCTAACAGTAGCAAACTCCTAAGTGAGCAGTCAAAATCCTAGAAAAAACTGCCTTAAAACAAATTTTATAATAATTCTAAACAGTAATGTTAATATTTTAATGTTCAAACACATTGTAGTTTATTCCCAAGGGAAAATTACATGTATTTACATGTATCCCTGGTTAAAATACTTTTAAAAAGACCTGTATCATTAGTTAGCAAATATCTGAAATAAAACAAAACAATCCAACAGTATATTTTACAAATAGTACAATATTCCTAAAGTACAAAAAAAAAGCCTTGGCATTACATAAAAAGAAACTGAGTGAACAAATTTAAATATAATAGGCCACCTAATAAGGGAACCATCTAGAAATCTAGCACACAATGTCTGAAACTCAAATATTATAATACTAAAAACTTCAGCCTTTACAAAATAAAGACTCTCATAGTCAGAATACTCATTTTAAATACATTTAAACTACACATAAGCGTTAAATTTAAGAATTAACAACAATCTTTTAATAATCACATTAATCTTGCTTGCAATAATAATATAACACATATTTTTATGACTAATCACCTATTTCTCTAGTCTAGTTCCACAGCATGAAAATAACAGCAGACTAACAAACTAATAATGGCAAATACTTAATTTAAGCAGGGGCCATTTACTATATTAGGATTACCAGTAACAGGTATTTGAACTTTCTTCATTTTTACAATTCAATTTAACTGATATATAAAAACAAGAAGCATACATGCTTATGGAGTGTCATGTAATATTTTGAGATATGCATGTTATATAATATTTAAACTGGGTTATCACCTCAACATTTTATATTTCTTTATGGCAAAAACATTGAAATGGAAACTTTAAAATAATAAAGATAGTATATGCTTTGTAAGACAACGGGCAATTATCACACATTTGAAAAACTGCAAACAGCTCTTTGGTGAAGTTGACAAGATCTAAATTTAAAACAAGGTTTTAGTGTATATGTAACCAGCATTAAAGAACATCATTCAAAGCTGTTAAGGGTTTGTGAACTAAACTACTGATAATCTGCAAGTAGTAACATTATGGGCAAATTTTTACTTTTTAAATTCTTATATGTATTTTTCCAGTGTTTAACAAAATATATTATAAATTTTTAATCAGAAATAAATATTTGGGGGATAGCATTTTTATACACATACACAGTACCAAGTGGTTTGTCTGACCATAGACTGAAGGTACCAAGGTAATTGGGCTTTTTTTCTGGCGTAGGGTTGTTCTCATCAAAAAAAGATTTCAAGGATTATCTTAGAATGTAACTTATGCTCAAGATATAGCTTAGCTGTCATTAAAAAAAAAAAAGATTAACAGACAAAAAACTTCAAGAATACCTCATAAGAATTGTGATATTTCAAGATTCTACAGACTCTCAATGTGTGAATGCTGAACATTTTGGTATTCTAAAACTTACCTTATACTATCTATTTTAACTAGGACAACACATTAAATGGGATTTCAATAAACTTTGCAACTGAAACCTAATTTCAAAGCAAATTGAGGGTACAATGTTATTAGTGTGATATTCACAAATGCTGGCAGTCCACTCAGTTCTCTGTCCTTAGTAACCTTAAGCCCTTTTGCATGAATAGTGTGATTTCAGTGCCTTTCCCCATGAAATAATGGAATGTGAGAGCAATCTTTCCTCACTGACTAAAGTGTCATATTAACTAAAATGCCTACAATGTAAGTAATTTTTAAGGAAAGTAAAATCTCAAACCCAAGGGCCTGGTATTTTCCAGTGAAGTCCTTCAGTAAAAAGGGAAATTTAGATGTGCTTCACTAAGTATTTATTAATATATTCAAATAAATAAAACTGAAAAGCAAGTATAAGCCAAATCACTATCATTTTTTGTTATTGTAAGATACGTAAATTCTTCCTAACATAAGAGAGAACTCATTTAACATATACATCTGTACCTATTCAACTTTTCCAAATTTTCATTTGCAAATGGAGATTCAAAGTTCAAAGTAACCATATTATTGGGTGGGTCAAAATTTAGCCAAATGTGACTGACTCTTTAAGACTGGTTTTTAACAGGTTCTTTCAACTTTATTCAAACAAATGTATTTATTATCAATACCCCAGAATTATTTAACATATTCAAAAATAAATTTCATGCTATCAAAAGGTGATGTTCACTTTAATCCTGTTTGCCTTCACGCCACTGTCGTGAGCCTTCATTCCAGGCCACATAGACAAACAGGGCCAGAACCACATGAACAGCAACAACGGCAACAATTGCAGCATAAAAATAGCTGTCTCTATTGGACATTCCAAGGGCACCTATCAAGAAAAGAAAATATTTCATTTTATTACACACTTACCAAACTACAAAATTCAAAACCTAAGAATTCTGTTTGTGATGAAGACCATTACAAAAAAATCACAACAAGTTTGTGGAGCCCAGTCCCAAAGGATACAGGTGAAAACAAAACTCCTGTACCCTAAGGCTCAAGCATGAATTTGAAAAAGAGCAAAGCATGGCATTTGGGAGGTTTTGGAAGGAGGAAAGGGAAGAACAGTGCTTATGACACAGAAATTGGAATTACCAATTACCAACTACCCTGTTTTCATCTCCCATTTCCACTTGTAGTGCAGATTGCAATTACTTAATTTTCTGTACCACACTTCTAAACTGAGGATACCTACAATTAATTCAGAAGATTGTTGTGAGGATTCTGTATGTGAATTCAGGTAAAACACTTAAAGTAATACGTTATAAATAATAAATATCCTCCAAAATTTTGTTTTGTTCTTGAGACAGGGTCTCGTGTAGCCCAGCTTGGCCTCCACCTCCCAAGTATTACAGGCATGCAGCACCACACCCAGCCAACCAAAGCATATGAATTGTCATTGGTCATATATTTAACTCACACAAAAGGAAGAAGAAAATAAGTTTTACAATAAAAAGATTCATAAAAGCTCAGAACAAGTAAGAAAATAAAAATATGAATGTAAAAATTACCTTCAAATATATAAGATTTAGTTGTAAAATACAACCCGATAGGAACTGTGATCATTAAAGCTGTGAAGAACAAGAGTGTCTTCAGGGTTGCAGCTAAAGAGTTTTCATTTCTGGAAGAAAGCGAACAAAATTTTCACAAACCATATCCAAATATGGTAATACCAAAGTTAAAATAATTCTGAGGCAAATAGCTTCTGCAATCCGGAACGCTGCAAAGAGGCAAGCATACGTTTGCATGTACCCAAGCCAAACCCTGAGATTGATGCGCATGTGCAGATGTGCAAGCCCCTAAAAATTACATCGAAAAAACCCAAACCCATTTGCAATCAAACAGCTCCTCCCCCAGGACTGTACACATTTCTGGTCAAACCAGAGGACTAGACCAGAAATAAACCAGAAAAGACAGATGTATTTTAGAGGGCTTCATAAAACATACAGCTGTATGGGAGTAAACCGAGAAGACAAACATATTAACAGCTATTCCAGGAGACTCCAAATAAAGCTTAAAATGGTCAGCTTGGTCATACTATTGAGGCAGAACACACCAATGATAACAGGATGGATGTAGAACACATTTTTTTTCCAAAGACTAGATGTAAAATCCAGGGTTAATATTACTGCTTAGTTTGCATAATTTGAAGCTAGTCTGAAATTGTAGAGAAATGAATTTTCACAAAGATCAAGGCATTCTTTTTTGAATACTATATCATTTAGACAATTGTGTTTCCTTTAATGTGATAACTTTTTAAAAGTCTGGTGGAAAAATCAACCAAAATCATAGAAAATAGAAATGTATTTTAAACTATTCTGATAGAGGGAAAAGAGGACAAATCAGACAGTAAAAGTTACATCAACAAACTAAACTTTTATTGAATTGAAGAAAGTTGAGTAAATTTAGTGTGTCCGATGCCCATCCAGAACAAAAGTCAGTCTACAAACTCCAGTCATGGCTAAGTAATCCAGACAGACACAGCCATTTCTTAATTTTTGTGTGTGTATGAAAGAGAGGGACAGTGAATGTGTGTGTTTGGGTGGATGTGTATATGCACAGACAATCAACATAGGCATATTCCACAATTTATATATATATATATATATATATATATATATATATATATATATATATATATATTATATTCCACAATTATATAAACATTATATATTTTTTCAATTAAAAATGACCAAATCTATAGAAATAATAAACACTGGCAACTATGGATAGGAGCAGAAAATATGGAGCTGTAGATCAAAGTCCAATAAAGTAGCAATCACAAGGCTATTAAGTTTAAACAGCTATACACAACATGAAAATTATATCTTATAAAACTGCATTGTATTATCAAGCTTTCTGGGTTGATTACAGTCCTTGTACATGTGGGAGAAATAAAATCTTACTCTTATGTTGACTGTCATTGGTAAAAAAAACATTCTAAGATTATCTTTTGTTACCTAAATGTATTACCTTTTACTATAACTCTACCGTTACTGAGCTACACATATGTTAGGCAAATGCTATACCATGTAGCTACCTCTCTAGCTCTTTGTATTTATCTTCTGAGACTGAGTTTCACTAAGTTTCCCAAGTTAGCCTAGAACTCATTCTGTAGCCCAAGCAGGCCTTGAAATGATAATCCTCCTGCCTCAGCTTTCCCAACAGGTAGTATTAAGAGGCCTATGCCACTAACGACTAATGTGTTCTTTAGATTGTCTCTCTTAAATATCTACTATCTGGTATAATTTTTTCAAGCATTCGCCAGACAGATGGCTCAGTGATACTGCTCTTCCACAGAACCCAAGTTCCATTCCCAGCACTGATGTCAAGCAGCTCCTAACTGCCTTAACTTCAGCTCCAGAGGATCCAATGCCTCTGACTTCCTCAGGTCCCTGAATCACACACATACATAATTTAAAACAATAAAGCTTTAAAATAATTTTATAAGCACTTATTGAAAAAATGATACAACACAATAAAAATATTAGTGTAAGCAAAATCATAGTTCTATCATGTAAATATAATATTTTCTATATATTAACATCCAGGCCCCCACAGCCTGTATGTATATATGTTACTAAATTATGGCCTATTATTTTCAATACATTCTTACTCTTCTCTATCTTAAACTTAAAAAAATGACTTTTTTCTTTTATAACTTCAGTAATTTAAGTAGTTATCCACCATTTAAAAACGTAACTAGTTGAGAAATGCATTTTCAGATGATTCTGTCACTCTACAAATATCACAGAGCATACACATACAAACTAAGATGGCTAAAATAACACTAGATAATACAATCCCATGGAACACATTTGCAGTCTGTTACTGATCAAAACATCCAAAGCATATGAGTGGATAGTCAAAGTTAAGTGTGCCACAAACTTAAAAGAAAAGTAGTTACCCAAACTCCCCTAGCATTTAGACCACATTTCTCCTTAGCTTCTAGCCATAACCCACTATACCTGTTGGTTCTGCTGATACAAATCAGGTCAGGTAGTATCAATGTCATGAAACAAAGCAATGGATGCCATTTGATTGATTGATTTTATACCTGACTAGGGGTTCTGAGACCTGTCAAAAATGAGGAATAAACGGAAAAAAAACAGACTATACTCTTTATGTACTTAGTAAGAATGTCTGTTGGTAGCTGGGGATGGTGATACACACCTTTAATCTCAGCACTTGGGGGGGCCAGAGGCAGGAAGATCTCTGTGAATTCGAAGCCAGACTACAGAGTTCCAGGACATCCAGAGCTACACAGAGAAACTTTATATTGAAAAACAAAAAGAATAAATGGATTACATGGCTTTGGAGTCAGCAGTCAAGCCATAGTAACCTTGTGGTCTAATTTTGTGATCTTGGATAAGTCACTTATCTGAATTCAACTTCCTTTTCTTCCAAAGTTAAAAACTAAGTAGTCAGCCAAACTAAGAATTAAGAAATCTGATGATGTCAATTAATGGATGCTAACTTCTCCCAGCTCCTTGCCTCTGAGGGACCAGTAGAGTAGTAAAGGCCTATTATCATATTCTTTCTGCTCAGTCACCAGTCCTTACCCTACTGATGGATTCCCCTCAAGAGAAGTGGTCTCACATCAGGGCCACCACCCTATTCACACACCAGATTTTTTTTTTAATTTGATGTAGAGGCTGACAGGCTTAAAGGAGACCGGGTGCCTATCCACAAAGAGCCACCTGGCAAAGGGGAAACTGCAAAGCAGCAAAGTCGCCAAACAGGGAGAAGAAGTGCAAGGATGCATGAACTGAGGGCCCGCTCACTTATACCATGGATCACAAGTGAAAGGTGGGGCCAGTTACTCAGAAGCATCAACCTGCAGTGAAGCATGGAGGGGCCGTTCCCAAGCCCACCCTGTTTGTCTCCTGCCTGCCGTGGGACAAGTGTTAGGCCAAAGCAGACCCGCCGTGGTTGCCCAGCCGAACTCAGGGATACCTGAACTCTGGTGGCTGCAGCACATTCAGCGCCGCTTTATCAAGACGCTCCATGGCTTGGCCGGGAGGGCAGCAGCAGGCGCTAGGTAGCTAGCTGGGATCAGAGGCCGCTAGGAGAGTGACAGTACTAGGCCGGTCGCGCCGGAAGTGCCCCAACTGAAGCACGCTCTTGTGGCGCGGCGTAGTGACGCTCCGGCAGTGCGCGCAGGCGCGGGTATGACGCGAGCATTCACGTGACTTACCCGCGGTGGGTTCGCGGTGTCCGTCTGGCTGCAAGTGGATCATTCTCCAGGAGCAGGCCGGGCGAGTAGCCTAGCCACTCCACGTTGAGCCGGGACTTTCCACGCAGCATTGTCCTTCCGGGCCCAGTGCCTGTTGTCCGCCTCTCGATCCCGCTTGCGGTGTCACCGGAGCCTGGTGACCCGAGGTAGAGGAGCCGCGGAAAGGACGACCCAGCTGTCGGCTGTGGTGCTAGGCAACAGAGCAGTTTCCGATAACACAAAAAGCAATGCACATTATTCCACAAGCCCATAAGCAAAGACCTCATTCATTCCTACACGCTTTGGCAGTCCAGCAGGAAGTTGAGAGGAGTTAGTTTAACACTCACCCCAGTAAGTAAAACTAGAGAACTCTCCGCTGAAAGAGCCCTTGCTGAGAGTGGCTGTTCCACGCTGGTAGCCAGTGACCCAAACTTCCACTTAGAGTTAAAAGTATGTTTTGCAGCTGTTCAGAAAGCCGCCAATGAGACAACAGGGACTCAAAAATAGTAAGGACAGATGGGCCTAAGCTCCCAAGCAACCCGAGAGGCACCAACAGAAAAGGGTGTGTAAACTCTAGGACAGGCTTAACAAAATTAGGTTGCCTCTGACTGCTAATACTGTGAAAGCCCTTAAATGGTCAGGCCCGGAAAGGGCTGCTGACCACATACCTATTTTCTGCACCATGGGATACTAAGCACATCTGAAAGGACAAATAAACCAGCCCTGATTGAGCAGTAGGAAGCTTGCGGTTCAGTTTAAATGTAATAGCCCCTCTCTAAGCCTCATGCACATCCTTAGGTGAACCTAAGAATGATGAACTCAGGCAGTGGAAAACTGGGTGCCCCAAGTGACACACTGGTCAGCCAGTCAAATATATGGGGCCTGTAGTCAATTTTTCTCTGTTCTGAGGGGTAAGAAAATGTCAGAGTAATATCTCACAAATGACTTAGGAAAGTCATTCGAATTTTAATGTTCATAAATAAAACTTTTTGGAACTGAGTCATGCATGTTCATATGAATTGTCTCTACAACTTTAACGTTTGGTAGATGCAACATAAGTAGCATGTTCCATAATTTCTAAAATATTGTCTTTAGATTTGGAGAGAGAGAGAGAGAGAGAGAGAGAGAGAGAGAGAGAGAGAGAGAGAG